ACTTGGGATCATATGAGACCAATGCTTTTTCGTGAGACCCGTAAGACCAATTCTTAACCCTTGGATTAGATCTATAATCTCAACATTCTTAATCACAAAATTTGCCACGAGAGTTCTCAATAATTACAAAACTGTCACCGTGCAACTTTAAACCATTAGATCATTAGTTTATGAAGTTGATCAATGAACATAAATTGGTCTCACGGGTCTCACGAAAAACTCTTGATCTCACGTGAACTCAACCCTATATATATATATATATATATAAGAATAGGTTATGTTTAAAAGGTAATAACTTTTGTCAAAATCATTACATAGATTTGACAGACATTATTCTTGAGTTAATTTTCAAATATCCTAATAAATTTGGATTCTTATTATTTTATCCAAACTTATTTCTTACATTACATGTGAAGTCCATTAAATATATGAATAAAATCTGCTTTCATATCGTATCTGTAACACCCTCAATTTTTTTTTTGAGAATGTCACGTAATCTGAAACAATTCTTAAATACGTACTCCAAAAGACAGCTAACATAAAACCGTTTGAATTGTTTACAGCAGAGGTCCTTGAACCGTTCAAAAATTTACTTAAGTTCTAACCCACCTCATACCGGGTTAAGTTACAAAGATCAACACAACGTCAAAAGATTAAACATAAGATGATAAGTAGCGACTCTCTAAGCGTGTCCTTTGCTCTTATCCAATCTCGAACTACCTGGCCCTGAGATGCATACTATAGTCAGCTTATAAAGCTCAGTGAGTTCATGGTTTGCGTGAGTAAAGATCATTTCACATCATACATATCAACTTGTAAACTTTGCACCAAAAGTATGCATTTTCTGAAAAACGTGCAGCACTGAAATAACAGAGATCTCATAACTTGTATGTCGGGTGTGAGTTATTTAGTCACAAACACGCCCTGGGTTGATACTTCAATCTTAATTGCTCACCCACTTGTCCGGGTAGTGTTTTATACTGGTCATGACTTGCTGGTCAAATGCTCACCCACTAAAACTGATCATAAAACTTTCATATGATATAACATGCTAGAGTTATTTGAAAACTGYTTAAACACATAGCATGCAACTGATCATAAAATGACATACATGTAAAATATATCATGTATGTAAACTGAAACATCATGTATATGTACCCGTTATCATATAAATCATRTAATGCTYGAAAATAAATTTATACATAGGTATGCATCCCATTATAAGTCTCATGAAGACTCACCTGACAACGTAGATTGCTTAGCTAACACTGTTGACTGGTAACCTACAATTTATAATCGCAAATAGCATATAAATGATTAATTTCTCCCAAAGGTTAACATAAAGGTCAACTTACGGTCAACTACGTTGGCTAGGGTCAACCTTGGTCAACTATGCTTAAGAACGTTCTTCACATCAACAAAATTATAGGAACGTGAGTTCAGACACAAGGTGTATCATCTAGCTACATACCTTAAACGACTAAGTCTGGAAGAAGACCAAAGCCTCTGTGGACGGCCAGAGCCTCTGGTTGCATTGACAGCGCCTCTAGACTCTTAAGTCCTTTAGGCCAGAGCCTCTGTGGTTGTATTGACAGAGCCCTTCTGCTTGTATATCATATTTAGGAAATAATTCCACATCAAGGACAGAGCCCCTCTGGACTCTTAAGTCCTTTAGGACCAGAGTCTCTGTGGTTGTTTTGACAGAGCCCCTCTGCTTGTGCACCATAAGAAAATAATACATCACCAAGGCCAGAGCCCCTATGTGGTCTCTCTTCCAGAGCTTCTGGTCTCACGACCAGAGCCTCTGGTTGAATCATACTTAGCAATTATATTTCACATCAAGGACAGAGCCCCTCTGGTCTCTC